CTGGAGGACAGACTTTAGAAAACTGGTGAAGAAGACAGGTGGGAAAGAAAAGGAAAAAATAAAAAACAGAACAATAACAACAACAAAAAACTAGAAACTGTGTTCAAACAATCAAGAAAAAACTAAGCAAAACAAGAACTAGAAAGGAGAAAAAAAAAAAGATTTTTTAAAAACCCCAAAAACATCCAAATCAAGATGTGTCTCTGCTGTCACTGTTAGGCAATGTGAGCAAACAGAGTCCAGAGCCAAATTGATTAATCCCAGCAAGCTAGCTGCAGCTTCACGGTGGGGTAGTGGATAATCCCAGCCAGCCTGCCCCTTTAGTTCCTCTGAAGTTAAGGCCAGTTTCTGACTATGAGGATGGAACTGGATTCCTTGAGCCTATACTGGCTGTGTCTCCTGCCGGCTTGAACTCTGCTCCTTGACACTGAGGCATCGGGAGCCACTAGATGGATTCTGCCCACACCTGTTCTGAGTTCTGAGCTCAGTTGCCCCCTCTCCAAGGTAGCTGCCAGCCAATCACCCTCTCCTAGGTGAAGTCTGAACCTGGATAACTCACTAGCTGCTGCAGCCTGGTTGGTCCACTGCTTGGTTCCACTGGTGCGTTTCTCCATGGAGGCCTCTGAGGTCATCGGTAGTCACTGTGCGTCTGCAGGTTCAGCATGCTGTTCCCTCTCGGAGAATCTGGGCTCTGGGAGAGAGTGCTGCTTGGTACCTCCCTCTTCTTCGTTAAAGTCTCTCTCTTCACTGTCCTTGTAGACTTCAATTCTCACCTCAGATTCTTCCTGGGTCCCAGGGACCCACTTCCCTCCTCCTCCTCCTGGTGCTGCTATATTCCAGTGTCAAGACACCAGATCTCAGAGAGGCTCTTTCTCTCCTGCTCACCACTCTGCCATCTTCCTGGAAGTCTGATATATGTATCTCATTTGTCCTGCTGTTAGTTTTGTGAGCCAACTGTTAATGTCATTCCAAGTTGCAGATAAGACAGCTGAGGCTTGGAGAAGTAAAGCAGCACTCCCAAGTGGTGGAGTTGCATGTGAACCCAGGTTTATCAGATCCAGAGCTTGTACCCTCATCACTGCATAAGTGTGCTCATCTCAGTTCATGGCAGCACAAGCTGCAAGTGGCTCAGGCAAAAATGAATGACCTTCAACTCCTTTTCTTTCTTTCCCTCATCTCTGCTTTCTCGGCAAGTCTTCTTAGCTTTTCTCCTAAATATGTCCTGCTCTGACCACTTTTTAAAAAAAATCTCTACATCACCAGTTTAATCCATTCTTCATCAGCTCTTCTGGAACACTGCAGCAAGCTCAGAAACTGAACTTCTTGCTTCTTTTAGAGTCCACTCTCTCTAGAACCACAGAATGATATTTTAAAACCCATATTAGGAGCGCACTCATAATCCCAGCTTCTCTGGAAGCTGAGAAAAAAAGGATTGCTTGAACCCAGGAGTTCAAAGCCAGCCTGGGGAACATAACAGTACCCTGTCTCTAAAATCCATATTTATTGGATCCTATCACTTCCCTATTTAAAACCAGCAATGACTGTTTACTTGCAATGAAAAGAACATCTTACTGGGGGCCCACAAAAGGCTATTCAATTGGGCTCTCGCTCCCTCTTTTACCTCAGGTCCCTGCCCTTCTACTCCACTAAGCTCTGTCCAGCCTTTGCACCAGATCCCTTTGCTAAGAATATCTGTCCTCAAATTTTGTCCAATCATTTCCTTCTTATTTTTATCACCGCTCTACTATTACCAGCTGAAAAAGTCCTTCTCTGATCACTCTGTGTAAAGAAGCACTTTCCTCCTCTCATCCTCAGCCCACTCCAGTTCCTAAATTACATTTCTATCACAGTGCCTCCTTTTCTTGTCTGCCTTATTCGTGTTACATCCCTTGTGCAAGAAAAAAAATGCTTGAATAGAGTAGATGGTAGATGCTTAATACGTGAATGACAAACATACGCTGTTGTCTGCCTAGAAAACTCCGCCCTGTCCCACACCACCCACCCCTCCACACACACATAGTTACCTCTGGGGCATTCCTCAGTTCTGGCTGAAAGATAGTTTACTTAAAGACATTTTCTCTGACCTTCTACCACATGCTTTCATAACAACTTCTGCTTTTCTTTCAAGGCCTTACCACACATTTGATTAAAGCTTGTTTCCTCCAGCAGCCTGTGAGTCTTGCTGATCTTTCTCCCAGATACCAGCACACTAGTTTGTTGAATGGGTGAATGAAGGAATGAATTACTTCTTTTGTATTAACTTGATCCACACTTGTAATGTGCTTGCCCTATACAAATGGGTTGGAATTCCTAGGTGTCTGTGACTCCCTTGGTAATTTCATCAGTATATGCATAGAGACAGATGGTGGAAGAAAGGAAAGAACCCTGACAAGTAGCCCATGCTCACTGCCTCACGTGTCATTTTGTTTGGTCAATGCTCCTTTTATGTTGTGCTACTTGTTACTTTTATCCACTTGACATTTTCCACCAGGTAGAATAGACCCCAGGAACGGCCTCAGCCCATTTCATTGACATCCACTTTTTGTTATGATTTCTAGTAACACATTAAAAATGAGGCTTACCTGAATGTAACCCTAGTGACCTAAGCAATGATGAGGAAGATAGTAGCTCAAAAAATTCAAATCTTGTTTCTATCACTGAATGGTTTTGAACAAAGCTTTTAGTTAATCGGCTTGCTTTCCATATCCATGGAGCACCAAAAGACACAGAATCATAGTTACTCAGCTGAATAGTACAACTCCAAAACTCTCTCTAAAGTCAGTAGAACCAGGAGTTTAATGCTATTAACTAATGTAATTTTTTTTTTTTTTTTTTGAGATAAGTTCTCACTGTGTTTCCCAGGCTGGGCTTTAACTTCTGGATCCTAGTGCTTCTCCTATCCCAGCCTCCTGAGTAGCTGGGGCTAAAGACATGCACCACCATGGCCAGCTTAAATCCACTTCTTTATTGTTGTTGAAGCTTAGGCTATTCGTCTCTTCCTCAAATACCAGCAATTTTTAAAAAGACAACTGAAGCTTAAAAAATATTACTTTCTAAAAAGAGCTTTAAGTTTATGGGGATTTTCCCTCCCAAACCAGGGAAAGAACCCAAAGTTCAGAAGTTGCAAATTTGAAATGCTTGTTTGGTTGTTGGACCACACTGTTTCTCACCAGAATTCTGCAAAAACCATTATGTTACTAATGATTACTGGGAGCTAAAACAAGCATCACAAGGTTTTCTTCATATGCTTAGGCACTTGTCTATTCACACAGTAGCATTTCCAGGTGTTTTGGACAAGGATTGAGTGGTTTAAATGCATGTAAGCAGAATTATCTTAAAGCCCAGGCAGGCATGGTGGCACAGGCCTATAATCCCAGCACTTGGGAGGCTGAGGCAGAAGGATCACAGTGAGTTCGAGGCCAACCTGGGCTACATAGTGAGACCCTGCCTCAAAACAAACAAAAAAATAAAGAATTATCTTAAAGCCCAAACCAGACCCTGATGTGGTTTTTATTGTTTAAGTTTTGCTTTTTTAAAATTTTATTTGTAATACCTTCACATGATGTCCTGGCACTTGGCAAAATCATTCACACTGCAGTCCATCTGCTGTCTCTTTTGGCTTAGGAATTAATTCAGCTTGCTCTACTGGTATATGCTAAAATGTCACAAGCACATTTAGAAACTCCCTCTCCACTTAGTGTCTTGTTTCTTTTTGTTTTGTTTTTTTTTTTGGTACCGGGGATCGAATTTGGGTCCTTGTGTGGAACCACTGAGCTAAATCCCTGCCCCAGTGTCTTGTTTCTAAGGAGCCATCCCTTGCTCTGTCATCTCATCCCTGGCACCAACCGATCCCAAATCCCCTTTATACTTCTTGTTACTTAGCTTCCTTTCTGCTAAAATTCCTAAAGTATCTGGGGCATAAACAGTATTCTAGGTCAAAATTGTAAAAAAAAAAAACCCAAAAAAACCCCAAAAACAAACAAACCAAAAAGCTGGATTCAGTAGTTGCACTGGAATTAGCATCATCAATGACCCTTGTATGTATCATGCTCTCTTCTCAGGTTTCCGCACACTTTATTACATTTGATCCCATAAATAGTCCTGTGTCTATATCCTCATTCAGCAGATGAAACTTCTGTAGCTCAGAGAAGCTAGATGATTTGGCAAGCTCAACAAAGTTGGAGCTGAAAATCCATCTCTCTACCCACACTTTCCCACTACTTCATGGTCCCTCTAAATGATGTATTTTGAAATAGTGTTTGTATCTGGGAGTTGGGAAATAATAGTTTTTCTCATGGGGATTTTGGTTTGGGTTGTTGTAATGTGACTTATTTGGGAAGAGATTTCTGTCTATAATCTAGAACGCAAGATTAACTTTATAGTTTGTTGTGGAATTCAAACCCATCTAACATTTGAGTTCATTAGTGTTTATGGCATACCTGTTACATCCCAAGCACCAAAGATAGGATGAGGAACAAGACAGATATGATCCCGGGCCAGGGATTTAGCTCAGTGGTTTCGCTGCCTGCTCCGCAAGTGCAAAGACCTGAGTTCGATTTCCGGTACCAAAAAGAAAAAGATAGATATGATCCCTGCCATTATGGCATCTAGTGGGGAGAAGATAAATGGGCAGTTGGATAGAGGCTGTGCAGTGTGGGATGGGAGCACACAGCAGGGACATCTAACCCAAACTTAACAGATAAGGACACTTCCCAGAAGACGGGACTTCTAGGTTGAGGACTTAAAGACAGTGAGAATTTTCACCAGACTAGAATTATAGCGAGGTGAATAATAAAGTTTCCAGAAGAACGCCAGGAAAACAGTGTGAAGGTCTGGAGGTGAGACTATAGTCTACATTGCCTCTATTCTTATTTATGAGATCAGATTTCATGAGTCACCTGTTGAGGGGCCTTGGAAAAAGCAGAAGCTCAATGGGAAGCTCAATGGGAAGGCTACTGAATATGCTCAGAAGATATTTATTTCTCATGTCTTCTTAATAGAAAAAGCTGGAGTCTCCTCCACCATCCACCAATCCTTTTCTGGAAGATGAGCCAACGCCAGAGATGGAGGAGCTGGCGATGGAGAAGGGAGAGTTAGATCAAGTAAGTCTGCTTTGCATTGCCACACGTAACCTAATTGTTCTTTCTGAAAATGGTTGAGTCTCCTCAAGTATGAGCCTTTGGCTGTTGACCACATTGAGAGATTATAGCGGTGGGGTCTTTATAGAGGGCCTTTATGTGAGTGCATTCAGATAATTGAGAGAAAGAATAGCCCTTCCTGCTCCCACTCTGTGTTCGCAAAGAGCCTCACCTCTAGCATTCAGTACCATGCACAGACTCAATCAGCCCATGCAGCAGGGCCAGCAGAACTCTGCTCTGTCTCATTCATCATTCCTGAGCTTGTCAGCAGAGCTTTCCGATGTACTCTCATCTGGTACAGTGATGATATGAGAGGCTGAGAGATCCCAGGGAAGTTAACAGCACTGTGGGCTGGGAGAGGCCTCTACACAGCACTTTAAGTCTGGAAGCCAATGGGGAGATCTGGAAATATCAAGGTGACCAATGACATCTTTGGAGAGTTACTTTTTAGAGCACACTAGCACTTTCATTTCATTCAGTTTTTTCTGCCAACTCTAAATTTCATCTCCCTTCATCCTGCAGAATGGTGTTTTTGTTTCAGTGCCATTTTATGACAGGAGAGGTTAGAGCAATAAATCAGAACATTTCCTTCCTTTCTGGATTAGTAATCCTTTTTAATTTTCTACACTTGGCTACTAGGGGAATCTTTTATTATATCATTTTGCTCCAGATACCACCAAAAGGGAGGCTGATGGGAAAGACCAGAATTGGGAAACCCATAGTCATACACTTTGCAGCTAGCCCGGCTTCCTTTTTGTTTGTTTGTGTGTGTGTTTGTTTTTTGAGACATGGTCTTGGTATGTAGTTGAGATTGGCCTTGAACTCGAAGCAATCTTCCTGCCTTAGCCTCTTAAGTGCTGGGATTACAGATGTGCACCACCACATCCAGCAGCAATTTAAAAATCTACGTATTTGATTTCATTTCACCTTTGCAGTGCCTGACTCATAGGTATTGAAACTGTAACTTAGAGACCAAACAGCTTGCTCAGGGTTACATAGTTTAGAAATGGAGGAGCTAAGACTGGAAGCCAAGTCTAGAAATCAGAAGCCAGAATTCCTATACCAGGCTTTTATCTTTAGTACCTTCGTGTCTATTAAAAAGTGGAGGGCATAGAAATGAAGTTCATGAACAAAACTGAAGGGCTCTCTTGAGGTGGTATCCCAGAGATGTGTGGGGATAGATGTCGTTGATTTAAAGTTGTCATATTATTGGCAAACACAGGAGAAAAAAAGATTTCTCCATAAAGAAATGCAGTTCTCACACTATGGGAGCATGGAGTTGGGTGGGGAGTCTCATTCTTCTGTGTCCTACACCCTCCCTGGACCACCTGCTCCTAGGAGCATGCTTTGTGCAACTGTGGTATTTTCAGGACCCCCATGTCCCTACAGAGCTAGTGGCTGCCATTGTCATGTATAGAATTGTGCAGCTGAACATTCAGATGCTTCTAGCACTGCCATGAAAAGTTATCCCCATCACTAGTCATCTCTGGATGTTATTGCTCTGAATACGAGAGTCTCCATTGGCTGTGAAATCAGTATTAAAAGGTAAAATATGATTTTTCTTTCCTTTGGAACTTTTTACTCATCATGAAATTTTGAGATTATTATTGTAAGACCAAGTCCTGCCCATTTTAAAGACATAGAACATTGACATTTGACAAATGCACAAGGTAAAGCAGCCTCATGTGATGGAGAAAAAGCTGGACTCTGGTCTTCTATTAGCCAATTGTGTGACTTTACATAGGTCATCTCTTCTTTCTGGACTTCCGTGCTTTCTTTATCTTTAGAGAAGGCTAATTAGTGGTCCTCAGACTACGTTCCTCAATGCCCTGTTTGATGTCACTGTGGAGAGTTGGGAAAGACAGACCTGGGTCCCCACAGTCAGAGCAATGCAGAACTCTGTATTGTGGACTTCCAGGTAAAATATTTTTGAATCTAGGATTTTATGTCTGTTTAAGAAAAAGAAGAAAAGACACAAAATGAAAAACCCTTGTACTAGATGATCACTAGTAATTCATGGGCTGTTCCTCATTGGTAATAAAATATACTCATCAGTGACTAATGGCTCCTGAGTGTAAGCCCGGACCTTCCACTGTCATCTCGTCACCACATGTCTTCCCTATGGCTGGTTAGGTGGAAACCCAGGGTCTCCCTCTTCCCAGCACCCTGCTGGCTTGTGGAGGTGGGTGCATGGAAGAGCAGGATCCCTGTGGGGTGCTGGGGAGGGACTCCACAGGATGTTAGCCGGAACCAGCCAGAGATGGTTGAGGGAAGGCCTCTACTAGTTGCCCTGGGTTACCCAGGCCCTTGTCTTGCTGCCCTCAGTAGACAGTTGGCCCTCAAGGTCAAGGTCACTCCCTGTTCAGTACTGCAGTTTACACCTGGCTGTGGGAAGGCAGAGTGAACTTGAGAAGCAGTGTTAAGTTTATAAGAGGGCTCCAACAATTAGTTGTCAAGATATTTCCAGTGATAAAAAAATGACATCTCAAAGGGGACTAGGGGTACTGAAAGAAGGAGAAGAAATCAGGAATTTTTGGTTTAAAAATGTACCCTTCTGATGATCTGAGCAGTTAGAGTTAATCTGTTTACATTGGATAGTAATGAAAGGAAATGGGACCAGCTGCAGACCTCCTTTCTGTGACAACAGTAACCTTTTATTATTCCATCAAACTCCAGGAGGAAATAGCTTAAACGTCTGCAGCTTTTGGACAGAATTCACACACTCAGAAATCCAGCCTGAATGCTACTGCTAAATGACTTAGTATATTTTTTAAACTGAGGATCATCCCTTTGGGGAGCTGCAGAGTGCAAAGGGAGACACCAATTTGAGCGGGAATTCCAGCATCTACTATCTCAACACAAGCACATTCATGAAGCAGCTATAGGCAGAAGGTAGCCCTCTCAGGAGAAAAGTAAGAAAATGAAACTTAGGCAGTCCCTGTCATCATTCCTCTCGTGTGTCAGCTCACACAGGAAATGGCACAAGAAGACCTGTGTGCTGCGGAGGCAGAAAAAAGTGGCCTGTCCTCCCTGCAGAGGCAGTGCAGAGCAGTCACTGTGGGTGAGGTAGAGATGGCAGCCCTGTCGGATGATGCTCTGCCTCAGTCTTCCGTGGGGCCTCATGAAGCACCTGTGAAGACCAATCAAGCTGAGCTTGTTGGAGTATCATGAAACCATTTTCTTTTATCACTTTGGGTCTGCATTTTATACTCCCCACATGAGCCCTCCAGACACAGGGTGTTTTATTTTAATCATGTATTACTTTTGTGCATACATAAAAAGGAAACTATCAGCAAAATAAATAGACTAAGATACTTCTAAAATTTCTTCACATGCAGAGTTCAGTTCTTCAGAACCACTTATTTAAAAACTGCTATTTTTACTAGATGCTGTGTTGGACCCTGTGGTCCCAGTTGCTTGGCTGGGCAACATAATGAGACCTTGTCTCAAAAAAAAAAAACGGCCAGGGATTTAGCTCAGTGGCACTGTGCCTGCCTTGCAAGCTAAAGGTCCTGAATTTGATCCCTGGTACTGGAAAAAAAAAACACCAAAAAACAAAAAACTTACTTTTTTATTTTGAAATAACACGAAAAAACTGAAAAACTAACTTTTTATTTTGAAATACTTGTAAATTTATAAGTTACTAACATAGTGCAGAGAGATGCTGTGTACTTATCTCCCAGCTTCCCCCATTGGTGACAGCATTGTCTGGTAGTGCTCTTGCGGTTCTCAGGCCCCTACACCTACATTTTGGTTTCCCCAGTGTCATTCTCTGCACTGCAGAATGTTGGTGGCAGGCATTTCTTAAGAATGCCATTGCTGTCGCTTTGACTTCTTTGCCAAGCCATGGGAACTATTCCCCCAGTGTTTTGTTTTGTTTTGGGTTTTAGCTTTTTTTTGAGACAGGGTCTTGCTATGTAGTTCAAACTGTCCTTGAACTATGTAGCCCAGGCTGGCTTTGGACTTGGCTACGATCCTCCTGCCTCAGCTTCTCAAGTGCTAGGATTACAGGTTTGTGCCACCACACCCGACTTTGTTTTGTTTTTCTTTCCTTTAGTTAGAGAAAAATTCAAAGACTTTTTACGAGCAACTTCTAAATATCTTTCACCTGGATTCAGCAATTATTGACATTTTGCTACATTTATGTTTATATTTCCTCCTCATCCTTTCTCCCTCCCCTTACTTATGGAGCAGTTTGGAAGTGTTGTGAACATAATGGCCTTTACCCTTGAACATTTCAGTGTGTGTTTCCTAAGATGGTCATTTATTTAAATTTTTAAAACATCAGTCAGGTGATGAACAGCTTCCAGATTGAAAATGCATGTGTTATCAAAGTAGCAGCAACTCTTTCATCATACAAGCAAGTAAATGTTGCTAACAAAGCCAGTGTCTTGTTCACAGACTGGATCGATCATAATGCAGGACTTATACCCACTTTCATTATATCGAGTGCTCTCTTATCTAAGAGCTAAGAGTGAACTTTGAAATGATAATTCTTTTATTGGTACATTTTAGGTATACAATATGTTTACGGGGCTAGGGATTTAGCTCAGTGGTTCTGCCACCTGCCTCGCAAGCGCAAGGTCCCGAGTTCAATCCCTGGTACCAAAAAAAACAACCAAACATACAATATGTTTACATTTATCATTTATCATTGGGTGCTTGTACCTGTACGTGATGTATCTTGGTTCTTATTTTTGTCCTCATTACCTGTGCGCCCTTCACCCCCTCCACCCATCCCTATTTACATAGATTTCATCTCCATTTTTTTCTTTCCTCATAATTTTTCCTTTCCCTTCTTTCCTTTCCCCTTCCCTTCCCACCACACCTACACCTTTGGACCTTTTCCTATTTCAAAGTATCATTTATTCATTTTAATCATTTTAATCCTTATTTACACTTTCAGTTTCTCACACTAGAGAAACTATT